ATGATGAGTTAGCACCGCATTTAGTAACATCTTTTCCTTAGCTTCCTTTAAGGTACCTAGTTTATTCCTTTTTGGCAGATGTGAGGGAAGCTTGTGTGTATGTGAATGTATATGTGTATGTACTCATGTGCATATATACACATATACACAGTTGTGTGCCAGATGTGACACAAAGGGCATGCACCAGATTTACTGGAAGTGAATGATAGCTGTAATGTGTCTTGGATTTGTCTAGCTATATATTACTTTGGATTTAAAATCTGTTGAAAATAATGGTTTTTACTAGGGGAGAGAGAGAGAGTATGTTTTAGACAGTTTCTCAGATAACAAAACATGATTTCAAAGTTGGTTCCTGTAAAGATATAACCATGCCTATGGGGAGGAGGGATATGGGATCAGATAAGGGATTTCTGATCTTGACTGAGGTTTGTGAAGTGAATTGCTAAGTTTCTAAATCATAATTTTAATGTTCTACTTGAAAACAAGCAGTTAAAAACAAGACCTATGTGGCAACCCTGCCCAACCTCAGCTACAGTTAAGACTTTCTGGATAGCCAAAGATAGCCATCCTGTATTTCTGTTGATATCGTAGCACATATACCAGAGGCTGTAGTAGCTCCTGGTTATCTGCATAATTTGCTCTGCATAATTTTTTGAGGGCATGCAGTCTTGGCTCTTCTTGAAAACCTGCATATCTTTGTCATTGAATATATGAGTACAGGATCGTTTTGATAGAACTTAGTGGCAAAAGGATCTTGAGCTCAATAAATGACAGCTATTTAAACATGGTTAGCTGCTGTTTCAGACACCTGCACTGACAGACACCTTTGTCCGAACATAGCTTTTCTTAGTTATCTTAGGTTATTTAATTTCCTTTATGAAGGTTATTTCATTTCAAAACAGTTCAGCCACAGATCTCATCTGGCTTTTTGGGGCTTTGGGAAAAAACTTCAAAATCTCACTGTTTCTGATTTTTATCTAGCTGTTTTTTATTGCTACATTAAAGACTGTTCTGACCTGAGGATTGTTTGTTCTTAATATCCAAAGTCCATCGTCCTGTGAAAACATAAAAGGAAAAATTCAAGTTCTTAACTCTTTTGCCTTTTGTCCTAGCAGTAGTTTTTTACTTCCATTCTATAAATCAATCAAACTTCTTTCTGAAATGCAAGGTTCTGTCAGTGGATTTGTTTACTAATGAATAATATATTCTTAATATTTTGAGTGCTGTAATTTTGAAGTCTTTAACATCTGCAATGTCTCCCTCTGACATTATGAACAGTTGCAAAGGATTTGCTATGACTTGCTCGTTGACCTCTTTGTACAATGATTTTTTTCCCCTTCTGTGTGATGCTTTTATTAGGAAATGGCCTTGTAATGCTAATGTACCTAAGTCACTGCTTGTCATGCTGGTCAGTGTTGTTTTATTCTGCCCTTGTACTCATCAGTATGTCTTGTCCTGAAGAGTAGGTTTCACAGGGTAGGGACTGTTTTGGTTCCATCAGTGTGATACTTAACTGAAAGGCATGGTCTGGTTTGTAGAAATGGACTAGTTCTGGTTAGAAGGGACTTCTGGAGGTTATCGGGCTCAGTCCCATGCTCAGAGCAGGGCCAACTTCAGTGTTAGTTCAAGTTGCTCGTAATTAGGGCTTGCTAGTTATGCCAACAGTAATGAATATTTACTGATTTACTCTTTAAAGGTCTGACTGCTCTGATGCTGGCAGACCTTTTCAGTGAGCTAAGTGGTGGTTAGAATACGTGCCTGGCTCTGAAGGAAATGACTTTAAAACAAGCTTCGAAGAGCATTTCCTTCTTTCCGACTTCCACACACACAATGGGTATCAGTATGCTACGTGACTACAGAAACATTTGTTCTGTGCTTGCTAGCAAAGAGAACTCAAGAAAAGTCCTGTCAACCTTTACCTCCTGACTCCTGAATCTTCAGTGTTTTATAGTGTAGGGGTGAATCTGGCCTATGTAACAGTGTAGGTTAAGATTCAACGTTGTTCTTTCCTTCTCTTATACTTCCCTGACAAGTATTAGTCTCATGCAGTTTCAGTCACAAGACCCGCACAGTGTTCAGTGCACCTCAGTTCTTTTGCGTCTTAGGACTTGTAGCAGAAACCAATGGGTTATTGGCCAAGGAAAAGACTGAAATTGGGTCTCAGGCAGCAGCCAGAGAGCAGACTTGAAAGCAGGTATTAGTGATAGTAAGGTAATGAACCTCAAACTGAACGCTGCAGGCCATATTATTGACATCTGAGCAAGCAGATAATTTGTAGTATCTTTAGTTAATCTTCTTGAAATAAAATGAAAATCTTTCACATTCAGATTCAAATTTCAGTTCTGGTTGCACTAGAGCTTGACTTTATTACATAAAGTAGGCAGCATGTTCTTCAGTAACTTCTGTAATGCTTTTTCCACTAGCTTTAATAACAAAATTGCCATTTTTTTGTAGGATGGAAGAGCAGCATCTGCTGTTGTAGTTTGTTCTTTTCTATGTTTCTGTCGTCTCTTCACTACTGCTGAGGCTGCAGTTTATATGTTCAGTATGAAACGCTGTCCTCCTGGCATTTGGCCTTCTCATAAAAGGTATGGTATCAGTCTGTTTGTAGGGTGCTGCTGAGGCAAGCATTTCTACAATTGTGAATATGCTGCTATTCTTACAGAATGCTTTTTAGGAAGATAAATCCATTTCAAAAGTGGCTTTATTAGAACCGCAATATTCAGGAAAACAGGTGTCATGAGTAGAGAAAACAGTTCTGAATTTTGTAAGACCTTACTCATGTTGTTCATGTTACTACTGAATCCAATATAATCTGTAGTGAAGCAACGTTACGAATGAAAGCAAGGATATAGCATGCTTTTGAAATGCAGTCTTAAGTATAAAATCTACTCTCACCTGTGCATGGTATTCTATTCAGTGTGTAGTAATTGTAGACTTCGGTGTGTCAGAAGAGTACAAGTTCCGTGGAAAGAGTAGCAGTATAATTCTTGTTTGGCAGATAAGAGAATACTTTCTGTTTTTCAAAGGAGTGCGTGCAGAAATGACTTTCCTATATGTTGAAGTGTTTTAAACTGATTATTTGAATTAACGGATGTACTTTGTTAGATCTTTAACAATGAGGTCTCAGTAACAAGTGACGCTAGTAATAAAGGTGCTTCTGCAGAAAGTCACATTTAGAAAAGGTGAGAAGTAAGGATTAATGAAATGCAAATGGCAGATTATGCTGCTGTAGAGATTGCCTTGAAATATACTTAGTGGGCCCTTTACTAGGTAACTCATATCAACGAGGTTGAGTTACAGCTAGCCCAACATGTAGAGTGCCTTTTGGAAGCTTTGGATTGCTAGTTGCAGAACTGTGCATAACCTTGATTCGGTGTGTGTAAAATACAAATAAATAATTCTCCAAGTAGGGTGTTGTAAGGTTTTTTGGAAAGAGTACCGGAATTGGGTCTGGAAAGTGGATCACAGGTGCAGATGAGTTCATACACCGTGCTATGTTTGGTTTTGTGGACTGTATGTCCTTCTGTTGTAATTTAATCAGTGGGATTTCATGCAAAAACACCATTGCTGGACTTAGACTGGTTAGAGATCCTACATATTTCTGCGTTTCTATTTCATTCTTTTGTGAAATTCTGATTTTAAAATGTCTGTTTCCTGGAAGTGCTGTTCAATGTTCCCACTGTTTTGTTATGTGCTACTGTTTAATGGCTGGATATTACAAACGTAATTGATATGTGTTCACCCGTTGTTAGGATTTGGCTCTGTTAAACGAGTGCCTCTTGGTTTTGACAGATACATTGAATATATGTGTGACATGATGGCTGAAGAACCCATTATTCCTCACAGCAAGCCGATCTTTGTCAAATCAATCACCATGACTCCAGTTCCGCTCTTCAGTAAGCAGCGCAATGGCTGCAGGCCTTTTTGTGAAGTTTATGTGGGGGATGAGAGAGTGACCACTACCTCCCAGGAATATGACAAAATGAAGTAAGTACGGGTCGTGATTTGTTTTGAAGCTGCGTGTTGAGTTTTTCTAGAGCAACTTAACTATGTAGTCCTTATTGTGAGGAAAAAGTGTGTTTTTAGATATGCCAGTTGAGCAGGAAGTTTCTTGAACGCTTACTCTGAATGGAAAAGCTCCTGAATCCACTGCTTCATCCAGCTGATCCTGAAGGAACAAATCACGAGAAAGAGATAAAGCCGTTATAATAGATGGTCTCAAATGGGGCACATGCCTGTCAAAAGTATGGATTATTTTGGGGGGGTATGTTGTACAGTGGGCATTGGGAGACAAAGGTGAGCAAGACCCTCTTTCCTTTATTCCATATGTTGTAAACGATGAAGGTTGACCCCAGGCTGTTAACGTTGTTGGGATGGTGTATCAGCACCCCTGAAACTGAACTTCATGTCTCAGTCATAGAAACAGTAAGGATCCCCCAGCCATTGCAGCTTTAAGGCAGGCATTTAGCTACCTGTTAGCTCCTGTGTAGCTCTGCTGTTGTGGTACAATGCTGGAATTGCAGATATTACTAGGGGTACAGGATGTACATAGTGAGGGGAAGAGGAAACATCAAAACACTGCTAGCTTCCCTCTAAATCCAAGCCCAGTAAGGAAGTGTCATGAATTTGGAGGGAGTGACAGAACTAGCCATGGGGTGTTCAAATACAACTTTTTCTCTTTTACTATACCACTGTCCCTAAGTGGGAGCCCTGACGTAAGAAATTATTCACAGCAGCATAATTCTAGGCAGCTGCTGGTTCTCTCTGTAGCTTTTGGAGCAGTCTGCTTTGTAATATCCTTTCTCTTGTCATCCTTTATCCTTAATATCCTTTGCCCTATTCATGGTCCTGCATTTTCCAGCAGCTCCTTGGAAGCATGTTTTTCCTATATCTGATTTGAGAGCTGCAGGACTAAATAGGTACCTGTTGGTCTGCTGTAGGCAACTGTTGAGCTTATTTTTAGACCGCTTCTAAGTTTTCTTCATTTAGAGAGTCAAGTCTTTTCCCCATAATATTTGTGGCATTTGGTAGGGTGATGTTGAATGGCTCGCAGAAAGCGAACTAAACAGATAAGGAAAGCTGGTATATATTTTTTTTAAATGAGGTTAACTATGGGTATGCTTTTTTTCAGGGAGTTCAAAATTGAAGATGGGAAAGCAATAATTCCGCTAGGTGTAACAGTCCAAGGGGATGTTCTCATTGTGATCTATCATGCCAGGTCAACACTAGGGGGCAGACTGCAAGCCAAGGTAATAAACTTAACAGCCTGTGCAGAGGGTTTGCTTTTATTGCTGCAGTTTCTATTCCACTGTATTTGTGATCTCATTTAGTACCTGATTTTGCTTACTACTGTTTGCTCAATTAAATGTTGGAGGTTTTCATGTTTGAATTCAGCTCTTTCAGGCCTGAATGTATGTCCGTTCTCTTTAGTGCTCTGCACATAAGTGTTTTGGTGAACATTTCTGGAAATCACTGCAATAGTATTGGTTGTCTTGGCATGGAAAGCCTGTAACCAATTTCTCTAGGAAGTGATTTTAAGTTGCACAACAGGTGAGACTTTTAAAACTCTGTACACACAAATCACAGCTGAAGGGGAAACCTGAAGGGGAAACTTTTTCCCCTTGACGGGGAAAAGTGGGATTCCAAGGACTGCCTGCGCGAAGCCGGCTGGAAAACCTATGTTGTACCCTATTTCTAGAGCCAGACTGTGCGTTTTTTATAGCCAGTTTTCTTACTGGCTTTCATTTTCCTAGGGAGAATGCATGTTAACTTTTTAAATTCAACTAAGAAGGTCACAAAAAACTTATAAAGCTTCTCTTCAAATTTCTAAACGCAAACATGTTTTTCTCTGTAGTGCAGGTAAAATGAAACCTGGAGTTGGGAAGAGTAGCATAAATTTTAAGGTAACTTTGAGCATTATAAAATTTGATCCAGGGGTTCTTAGAACAATACTTCAGTTTCCACATATTTTGGTAAAATGAACATTCATACACATCTATTACTAACACATTTTTCCCTGAATTTTTTTGCTCTGTGTGTAGGAAGGCAACTATCAAATCTTGTCATGTTGCAAACATTCAAGACTTTGTGCCTCTGGAAAATGTTGTACCCCACCTCTTTCAGCGCACTGTAAAGAAAGTGCACAACTGAGGAAAATTCAGCCAAGGTTAACGTGTTCTTGTGCTCTGTGTCAGTTTCACTGATGGGGTTGACACTTGGTGTCTCTGGCATTTATCCATTAATTGGAACAGATTAGAATTTTCTCAGCTGTCTGTTGTAACATGATACACTGTTGTAACATCACACTTTTGTGATGGTCCTGGTTTGGAACTTTAATGGAACAATATTCAGTATACTTTAATTTTATTTTGTCTAAACTGCTCCCGGAAGTGCTATCAAACTTGTATGGAGATATTACTGCACTTCAGTATTGCCATTAAGTGCCTAGAGTTAGACACCATGAAGGTCTACCACTTGCTTACAGTTAATTCAGGATTCATCTAGGAGGTGCCATAGCAAGGGTTTAAGAAAACTGATCTAATAGAATGTTCAGGTGTTCGCATGTATTTCGGAATAGGTTTCTGACTGATCAGATAAATTGATTTTTAATTCCTTTTCTTGGGCTTGTTACTAAGTTGGCGTGACCAAAAGGCTTTAGCAGTAAATTGAGTAAATTGATCTACTGGAGTCAGATTTACCGTGGGGAATGAATTGTTTGCTCAGGTAAGTGTTGGGAAAACTAAGTGGGTCACCTGCAAGGGGGGGGGAAAAAAACTCTTCTTCCAGCTATGTGAGGTCTTCATTCTCTTTTCTGGTAGCATTTGCGACTCCATGAGAGAGGAACAATGTTAAAGACCTTTGAAGTACAGGAGAGAACTGGTGCCTGCCTGTGACACTAGCCAAGCAGAGGTGGATTTTGGGTCTTAACAGGTGTTGGTAGGGAAAATTTGAAATAAATGTCCTATAGTACATGGCAATAAGAGGACAACTCAGAAGATTTTTGACGTTGTGACTGTCTAGTCTGTGCTTACATAGGATAGTACAGGTACAGCTGATTTTGTATCTCTTGTTCTACAAAGCCTGACAAGGCAGTGAAAGTTGCTTTTAGTGGATGGAAGGTTACAAGATACTCTAGCCTTTTAAGGACAAAGCAATTTTTTTCAAAACGTGCTGGAAGTTATATTGTTAAAGCCAACTGCTTAAAAGAGAGGTTATGCTCCTGAGATGAAGCATACAAGGTTTATTCAGTAAGCATTGAGTCCTGACTTGACGGGAAAAGCGTGCTAGGTTGTTGACATCACTTTTCAATGAGCAGGTAAGGCAGACTTCAGGACAAGAGGCAAGGCTTGAGAGAAGACAAGGTTTTAAGTAACTGTTGAATGGAAATCAGTGCAACTACTGGCATATCTCGGTGTAAGATCCTTTGCGCACATTTCATCAGACACTGTCTGATCCTCTGCCATTGAAACGGCATGTCACAATACCGATTCAGATGTGTTGGTGGCAGCAAAATAACCTTCAGGATCCTAAGGCTGTGATTTGGTGGAACTTAATGGAGTCTAGGTAGGGCTTACAAGGCTCGAGTATGGCTGACTGAAGCAGGGCAAATGCTTGCTTTAAAGAAGACGCAACTTGCTCAGGTACGTAAGTAACCTTCGCTCTCATCACTGACTCCTGATTATTTTTTCTTCAGGAAACCTAACTATGACAGAGGAAATGTTTTATCTGTTTGATATGAATCCTGACGTTCTGCTTTTGTAGTCTTCAGAGTTCTGCGTGTGTACTGGGTTGTCTGTAGGAAAGCAACTGGATTCCAGTCACTTGACTTTTGGTTTATGATGTTCCATGAGTGCACACTTAAATGAAAGCTTTCAGAATTTACTTTTATTAGGTCCTCTTTACTGGTCTATTTATCACTTGCATTGTAAGGACTTACGAGAACATCTGTGTGCAATTCAAGTCAGGGAACAAATATATTGTGGGTTTATCAAAGCTTGTTCTTGGCTTTGTGCAAAATGGGAGCTACATGGACATTTTGGAAGAATCACTAATTCTCTTGGAAGTGAGTGCCTGACTTGATGTTGCAGAGGAAAAAAGGTAGTTCTTGCATGTCTTTCACAAAGTCCTTTTAAATATAAGCGTTAGAGATCCTTTCCTCCTGTACTGAATAGAGTCATTTTTCTATGACAAATTTTTTGCTTAGTGTGTCTAGTACGATTTTTGAACAAGATGAGGTTTCCCTAGTATATGTTATTCTGAAAAGTGTAACACAGGTAATGGAGTTCCAGCCTTTATGACAGAGTCTGGAACTACTTGACAGCCTTTGGTCTCCTTGAAGCTAATATGAAAAAGGTGTCTGGTTCAAGGTCTTTTTGTGGAGAATACTTTCACAAAGGTGCTACACACTTGAATATTAACATTTAGATTTGTCTACATTCTCTCCTAATTGGCATTCAAGCCACTCAAGATGAAGTAGGGAGGTAAACTAAAATGGTAGCAAAATGAACGCTTTAACATATTTTAATGTTGAAAATATTTTGTATTAGAAGCAGAGCACTGTGCCTACTGTTCGTGTGAAATTATGGACTTCCCCTGTATTTATTGTTTCCAACAGATGGCTTCAATGAAGATGTTCCAGATTCAGTTCCACACAGGTTTTGTGCCCCGAAATGCCACCACAGTGAAATTTGCCAAGTATGTTGATACCCTTTTGTAGATAATTTGGAAGAAGTTTTCTTTCAAACCTATCAAGCTTACAAACTGGGAGATCCATTGCAATAATATGATTCTTTTTTTTTTTTTTTTTCTCTCCTCACCTCGGTGAACCTGAAAGTTTCTTCACAATACAAAAGTACCTTTTTACATTTTTTTGGAAGACATTAAAAAGTATGACATGTCTTAAGCCTTATACTAATTTCATTAAAGTTCTGTTTTGGGTTGCAGTGAATTTAATCAAGTTAGGCAATAGCTTCAATTTACTTGTATGTGTCTGTGCAGGTATGATCTGGATGCTTGTGACATTCAAGAAAAATATCCTGATTTATTTCAAGTCAATCTGGAAGTAGAGGTGGAACCCAGAGACAGACCTAGCTGTGAACAGCCACCATGGGAAAACATGAACATAAAGGGACTGAACCCCAAGATCCTATTCTCCACCCGAGAGGAACAACAAGAAATTTTATCAAAATTTGGTAATGAATCTCTTTAGAGAACATATTTTCTAATGCACTTAGTGCTTGAGGGTGTATTTTGTTTCATTTCTTCAGATGTCAAACTGAAAATATATCTTTTGTAAATATCACTTCAAAGAGTTGTATTTTATGAAGGAATATAAATTATTGTCCAATAATAGGTTATTGGAGGATAAATATCTTTATCTTAGCTCTGCGATTGTTAAATTTGCCTGCTTTAAAGCTTCGAAAATGCTATTTGGAGGGATTTTAACAAATGGAATTATGACAGCCAGGACTTGTAAACAGATATCTTGAAAGAATTATCTTTGGCTAAATTGGCATTATCACTTCACTTAATTATCTTGAGCATTCTTCAAAATGTTCTTAACTGAAAATGTTTTTATCAAGATTTTTCTTTTGTATAGCTAGGTAATGTTGCTATTTAATTTCTTGTGTGCCTCATGTGGTCCAGGAGGATTTAATATTGCATGTTTTGTTCTTAATCTGTAGATGTCTCTATTAATTCTGGTTAATGTTGTCCAATATCTATCTTTTTGCATGTGCCAATAATTCAGTTTTTGACATTTTCATCAATGCTGTCTGTGCTTTTGGTTTAGAAAACGCATTATTTGTGATCAATGCTTCTAGTATACCATACATGAGGTCTTACTCTTTTTCTAGTTCCATATGTTTTAATTGCATTTCTCTTGATACAGGATAGCTGCTGTTGTCTTATCTTTTTAGCAGGATATGTTCTGCTGTACTTGCATTATGATTTAAGCCGTTCTCTATTTAACTTAGCATATATTGATTTAAAAATCATTTTGTGAACACAGCTATCAGCTCGCTGAAGTCAAGGTGTTTCACTGAAAATTAGGATCTTTAATATTACTCTTACTTTCTTCAGCTTTCATTTTAAACAAATCACTTTTACTTTTTGATTTAGAAATGAAATGCAAGGGCTTCATATTGCATTGAAAACATTTCTTACCAAAACTTGTGGGGAGGCAATAACACTTGCTTCCTCCTATCCTATGAACATGTTCCATAAAACTCCTTAAATGAACTCTCTCCTTAGATAAACTGACATTATTCATTAATTATAATCTTTGTGCTTCTGAAATAGAATTTTTTAGCATTTCTGTTAGAAGTAGACTAAGGAGAAGGAGGTGTACCGGTCTAATATTTAAATTTAGATAAAGAGCTTTCTCCCAAGCATGCGTCTTCTTTCCAAATTAGTGGATGAAGGCTCATAAATTCAGGGAGTCTTGATCTTTCTTGCAGTGAGGAAGCCTTCCTTTCTGGGAGGTGTTACAGCATCAGGTAACCCAGCTCAACTCAGTTTAATACAAGAGTCACTTAGTATCTGATTCAGAAATAAGACATATGAGGAGTGCTTAAGGGCAGCACGTAGTGTATGTTACTTAACTCAAAAATTTTGAGATACTTGTTGACAGCTCTGTAGTATTATCTAGCTTTATACTCCAGGTACTTTCTGTAGCTGCACTCACTCTTTTCTAACGTTCTGTTCCTTCACTTAAATTGCTGCAGACTTTGTAGCTCTTGCCTGATTTAGAAATGGTGGTACAAATGGGCTGTGAATGATTAGATGCAACTAAAAGAATTGGTTAAAATTTCTTAAAAATTTCAGTAGAATGCCTGAATGAGTGCTTGAGTTTTGCAATTGGTCTGATTTCTTAATGTAATGTTGCAGTTGGAAATAGGCTTTTACAGGTCTTTACAGTTGAAATAGGTTTAATAATCCTAAATTCAAACCTAAAGGATTTTTCTCTTTGCAGAGTAATAGCTGATTTGAGACAGATTTTGCCATAATAATCAGTGTGTGTAAGTCAGATACCAGCTACTGTGCAATTAGGGTTGACCAGCGCTGAGTTTGTTGCAAGTACCTCTCTAAGGATCCCAGTTCAAAATCTAATCTTCTAGGGAAACCAGAGCTGCCTAGACAGCCAGGTTCAACTGCACAATATGAAGCAGAAGCGTCCCAGCTGGAGCAATCTTCGGAAAGCGTACCTACTGAGACAGAATCTCCACACAGCAGTAGTACTGATGCAAATAACTTCTTTCATTCTCTGGACTGGAAAGGTAGGGTTTTTCTCTGAAGTAACTTTCTTGTATGTTGTCTCGTACGCTTTCCAGTGAATTCTACAGTTGTTCCTTTGGCTTTCTCATAAGGCAAAATCACCATTTCACCAGATCAAGAGAAAAAACTATTTAAAATAAAGCGAGCCTTGCGGCTTAGTAAATGTTCAGCTTCATTTGGGAAAACATCCAGTAATGATTTTTTCTTATTGTACAAATCCTATAAATGCTGAGCAAATCTTTCATTTTTCTGCAAAAATGCTACTCTTAAAGGTCTGCAAGGAAGTCTTGCATTTCCATGGCTCCATTTATGGTGGTGGTGGAATGGAGAAAAGGTAGACTAGCCAGTAAGTTCCAAAGGGTCCGCGTAATTCTATATGGACTGGAAAAAGCATAACTTCATAGGGCATGTACAAATCATTTTCCTGGACTAACCTCTGATGGAGAAATTGTATTAACTGCATATGTTGCCATTGAATGGTATCAGATTTGAGCAGTAGTAAATGAAGGCTCTTTAAGCCGTACATGGCATAACGTACTGAGGTGCGTGTCCAAATCAGTCTTATTCTAAAAGTCTAAAAGCCACCCTTCTGCGGTGGCTTATTTTTTGGTATGGTAGATAAATTTGTAATTTTTGTCTCTGAGTACGTGTCAGTTCTTTCATGCTTATGCTTTGTACTTGGAGAACTCCTATTTACTTGGCTAATAACTGGTAGAATGCTAGAGCTAAAACGGAAAGAGCTGCTCCTTTGCCTGCCCTATGCACAGATATGGTAGGTAGTGGTTAGTTTTTTTTCCCCTTCCCTCTTTTGTGTGAGAAGCCTTGGTAAATCAAGGTTGGATATCACATAGTCTCACCACATAAGCCTGTCTTCTCCTAGTTGGCAGGAGAACCATAATCTAAAGCTGATAATCTAAAGCTGTTATTTCTTTTCAAGATGGAAAAAGTTCAGAAAGTGGAGTAGAAGACAATTCATCCAGAAATGATCGTGTTCAACTAACTGATGACCGGGAGGAGAGTGATCCTTCTGATGAGGAATTCCCTACATTTTCGGGTGAAGAAAGGGCAGTGACTGACGAAAAAGACTCTACTACCCCAGAAGGAGAGTTGCTTTTTGAAGCCAGTTTTGAAACGCCACCAGCCCCGTTACAAAAACCTGTTCCTGAAGAGAATGTAGATTTACTGGGACTAGACTCTGATGTTTCACTGGAACAGAAACAACCTATCTCAGAAATGAATTCTTCATCAAGCAATGCAGACTTGTTGAATGATCTTTTTGTGGGTAACACACCACAGATTTCAGAAGAGCCCACTGGAGATCTTCTTGGACAAGGAACCGATTTCTTTTTCGGCAGTCAGTCTCAGCATCCAGTTGCTGCTCAGACTGTATCTTCAGCAGCAGCCATGTCTTCTGGTATGTAAATTCAACATCAGAGCTCTTAAACTGGCCAACATTTAAAAACAGTCTGCGTTGCACTCAGAAAATGAGTATCACGTTTTGATATGTACCCTGAAGGCATGTCTGTCTATAGCAAGAATCTGAATAGAACAGCCTATTACCGCATGAAGCGGACACAAATTGCTGTATGTCAAACTGTTCATGTGATTCAGGTTCATAAAGAGGCAGTTCTTACGTTATCGGAAAAACAGATTCATCAGTGACAAAGTTTTTCAGTATGTTTTGTTACATGTTGGCAGTATCCTGTGATCGTATAAACAGGCAAGTGTAGGTTTTTATTTTTCGAGGAAATTCACTGCATTTAAAGAATCAGTAGCTTTCCCATGCAAATATTATATATGTTGGATCTTTTTTTAGATTCAGGTGTGAAGAACTTCTCTTGCTAAGATACAGAGTTGTAAAGACTTACTACGTTCCTACATTTTACGTAGATTAGAAGCATTAGACGTGGTGGAGAGCTGTGCTCTATGGGTTAAATGGCTGTATGGGATTTTTGGGTGTGTTAATCAGATAAGACTGCTAGGCAACTGGAAATCCTGTAGATTACTGTTTAGACCAGTGGGATAATACTACTGCAAATGGCTGTTTCCTTATTGCTCTTACTGATGTTGGCAGTTTTTTATCCTGAAAGAGAACATTATGCTCTGCTACCTAACTGGTCTTTAAAGTGTTTTAGTTTAGAGGTCTTGTTCTTAGCAATGCATTGCTAGCTCCTTGTGTCACTTGATTAAACTTTTCGTACGTAACAGTTCCCTGAGTGTAGTACTACAGTAAGATTTTTAAGAATATTAGTGAAGTAATTAGCAAATGGTTAGAAGGTCTAGCCTTTTTGCACAGGGGTAGTGCACTCGGTTTGACAGCTTTAATCCAAGTACAGCTGCGTATGGTTATTTGTAGCACTTAACGTGGTTTCTAGTACTTCTGTCTTCTGAAGTAATTCTATTGAATTGTCTTTGTTACTGCAGTCAATGTGGAAATCAATTTAATCAATTTTTGCATAGGCAGAAGTCTATAGAACAGAACTGTTATCTCCTTAACTTTGTTTAACTTTCTTACTATATAAACTTCCAAAAAAACCCTGAGCAGTAGTCACATATGCGTTTCATTCTACCTTTGAATTGGCTCAGGAGAGAAAGATAGTAACAGAAATAGGAATATTTGGCCCCTGTTGCATTTCAGTTTGCCCACCACGTTTGTACCCGAGCTTTTGTACGTGTGCAGTGCTGCAATAAAAGAGCTTGTATAGATGAGAATCTAGGGTTTTTTGAAGTGTTATTGAGTGTATGCGATGTAGCTACTGCCTCATGATGCGCTAGGGCTATATAGCAGGATTATTTCTCCTCTTTAGCTTTTGTGTGAATCTGGCAAGAGTCCCTGGGCTTTTGAGGATTTGAACCTAGAGGGCAGCAGTAACGGGAAGATCTGGAGCCTTGCTTCCAGCTGACTGTCACATGTTACCCCATGCTGACTATAAATACGCTTCCAATTAGTTTTCTTCACTGTGATCAGTAAAGACCTGCTGAAAGCTGTGCTTCTGCTGACTTTCGTTCTTGAGTTGACGTGTTTTTTCAGTCCCAGATTCACCAATGCCTTCGAGTCAGAGCGGTAGTATGAATGTTTTATTTGACTTTAATAGTTTAGTGTGTTTTGTTTAAGTTCCTGGGAGATTTTTGGCATTATTAGGCATTCTTAAGAAACATCTAAAACTTAAGGAGTGCCTTACGTGAAGGAAAGTAATATGTGATTGAATATATGCAGCCTTGGTAAGGATTTATGTTTGAAGAGAGCTATTGTTGTGTATAGCTGAAATGCTTTCAGAGCATGAAAGTACCATTGTCGGGGGGCAGGGACGATGATGACTCTTTGCCACAAAATAACTCTTTAGGCTGGTTCGGTTACCAACAGGAACTGTACCCGTGACCCCAGGGATATACAATTTTTTCTGTAATTTCATTAATCCTAAAATGTATCATAAGATAATTGTTTTCTACCTCTTTTAGTTGATCCTTTTGATCCATTCACAATGTCATCGAGTCCTGAGAATCCAACCCTTTCTGGTCCAGACCTCTTTGGAGATTTTCTTAATCCAAACTCAACGTCTACATCTGGTACATTTCCTTCCGTGCATGGTTCGCTTCCACCTTCTTCCAGCTCAGACTTCTTAAACTTAGGTAAGTGTGCTTCTGATGTTCTGTTTGTCAACAGTTTCTGCTGCTCAGTGCATTTGTTTTTCAATTTAATCAATGTGGATTAGTGTATCTGAGTAGATCCACTTGTTGACTGTTGTTTTAATTAGCTCCATGCTCTGGGAACACAGATACATATGTGCCAGGTAGCAAGGTTTTGCTGTGTGTGTCATTCTTACGGTTCTGATGCAAGAACTTCTCGCATTGCTAGCCTTCAGTTGAGGTTTTGATTTTCCTCTGAGCTTTTAGAACTGAGGATACACAAACACTCGCAAATGTGCTGTCTAGATAAGAGAAAGCTATTGTGGTTCTGTTCAGTTCTATTCTGTTAAAGATTTTCTCAAGCCTTGGAAAAGAAACAAGCAATTCAAGTGAGTTAAGAGTACAGCAGCGTCTTTAAAGGCGAGCTAAGGCTAGCTGGATGTTCTTGACCTGAATGCGTTCTGATAATATACTTACAGAATACATTATGTAATACTCTAATCTCATCTGTGTCATTTGGTTTCTCTGACGTATTCTTGGTGAAACCTATCCTTCATACATTCATTTTAAAATCTATTTAAAGTGAAACAGCTAAACTGTGCTTTTCGTATCTCCTCAAATTGATGTCATCAACACTTCACAGACTTGGTAGTGATAATCAGCAAACTAACCATGTGCATTTTTAAGTGGGAAAAACTAGGAATGCAAGGAATTGATGGTATTGCAGCAGTACTTACCAGCTAGGACTGGAGGACAGAAATCTCTTGGAAAAGAGGAAAACTTTAATATTAGAGTATCAACCCTTAAAATGATCAGTTACTCCAGATACTGTCAGGCCAATTTATTGCCTGTGCTAAAGGAAAGTTATTTAATATGAATCATAACTGACCTGTTTTAAAAGCCTCTGAGGCTTTGTTTTCTATAAATCTCAACTTCTGCAATAAAAGTAAGAGTCATCTTTGCACTGGCTGATGTGAAAGGACTACGCACCAACAGGACACCAAAGATCCTATGTTTCTGGAGTTTAAGTTCTACGAATATCTGTTATCTGTTAGAAGCAAACTAAAACATGTATCTGCAATAAATATACTGTTATTGAAGAGCGTTACTTGCACGATATCATTTGCAGGAATATTGTCATATAGCGAACTTGCTGTGAAAACTTGCACTACCCTATCTGTAAAATTTAAAATACCATAGTGATTTAGGTGGCTTGAAAAATCTGCAGAGTCAGCTGAAGTACTTTGTGTGGAAGAAACTCATGGGGCTGAAGAGCAGGGATCCTGTTTGTTCATAAGTCCACTACTTAACTAAAATTCAGAACTGCGCCATAGTAACTATAGCTGTAAATTAAGGATAATATCCAGCCATATTTCAAAAGGAACTCAGAAGTGCTGCGTAATAACAAAATGCCTGAAGTACTTGTGGACAAACTTCTTAAAGAAACCCCAAGCTCTATGTACTTAGAATCAGCGCTAGGCCTTAGCTTTGTAATATGTTAGGTCTTCTCTTATCTCCGTCCTAAGTGTGTTATTTCTAAAATATTACAGAGTGGAGCTTTTATGTGTGCTTATTCTTTAAATAGAAACATGATCTTAGGAAACTGGTGAGGAAGGGGAGCAGGGTGGTTGCTTTCTCGTTGGCTTTCAAAATGTAGCAGTGTGTACGTAGTTGTACTGTTTCTCCTCTTCATCAATATGTTAATACAAATTTGACAGAAGTAGAATTTGTGGGATTAACTTTTCATCTGCCTTTTTTTAAACAAGAAGATGGGGACTTAAAAAGGCTGTTGGGGAGAGGGGAAGACTGCAGACCTGGAGAAGCCTTTTCTCTGAGGATGGGAACATGTGTGAAGGGAACAAGTGATTAAGATTTGATATTGGAGTCGGCTATTTCAAAAAGTGAAAATTTGGTTATTCCATATCTGCCAGTGGTTTTCCTCATAAATATCTGTTGCGTCGTCTTTCTATGTTTTTTTTTCTTTCATTCGCTTGTTGATGTCTTCCGAAACAGCAGGTAGTCTAAGATGAGAACGTTCTTCTCTGCACTTTTTTATACCATAGTTTAGGACAACTTCTGTTTTATTGACTTTAATGTGAAATTAATACGGCTGTTACGTATATGCTTGCATGTTTGCCGCTCTCGTGCCACTTTCAGTTATGACGTTGGCACTGTTGCATGAGGTGACAAACAGAAGATAATTTTTTTTTGCAGTTCAGTGAAAGATTTGATGGACACTAATCACTGGAGCATCTTCTCTGCCCAAAATCTAATCCTGCTACTTATTTGCTTAACCATAGAGGCCCTGCTGTATGTGCTCAGTTGAGTTTCTAAAATCCTAAGGAGAAAGAGGTGGAGTTCTTGGCAGGAAGTTTTATTCCAGTTCTCATAATGTGCTGTGTTGGAAGAGGGGTTACTTTGGTATTGCTTTAGAAGAACAGCTGCATAGATTATGCTGCATAGCTTTGAACTGCTTTCTTGCTGACTAACTTCTCAGCTTACTGGTTACTCTGCTGCCATTCTTAGCTTTGACCAGTGAAGTGATCCCTAGAGTAGCGATAACTAAAATTTTATCAGTTTTATTTGCTGCGTTTAAAATGTCTGGCGGTAGTTCACTCATATCTTGAGCCAATTGCAATAGTCCTACTGCAGTCCACTTAACACTGTTTTTTATTTTAACCATTCTACATTACTATGTTCATAGAAACCACAAAATGGTTGAGTTTGCAAGGGACCCCTGGAGATCTAGTCTGCCCTGCCGCACTCCAACCAGCTCTAACTGACCCTGGTTTGTCAGGGCTGTGTCCAGTCATGACACGAATATCTCCAAGGACAGAGAATCTGCAGCCTCTCCAGACAACCTGTTCCTATGTTTGGCAATCCTCATAGAAAGCAAATTTTTTTGTTTAAACAGTTTCCTGTATTTCAGTCTGTCTAGTGCCTCTTGTCCTGTCACTTGGCACCACTGAGAAGAGTCTGTTCGTCATCTTTACTTCTTCCCATCAGATATTTATACGTGTTGATACAGTCCAATGACAGATGTTCCAATCTTTCAGTTGTTTTTGGCCCCGTAGTGGGCTTGCTCCAGTAGCTCCGTGTGTCTTGTCCTGGGGATCCCAGGACTGGACACAGCACTCCAGATGTGGCCTCACAAGTACAGAGCAGAGGGGAAAGATCACTTCCCTCAACCTGCTGGCAGCACTGCTTCTAATGCAGCACAGGAGGCTAGTGGCCGCCTTTGCTGCAAGGGCTCATTGCTGGCTCATGGTCAACTTGTTGTCCACCGGGACCCCCCAGGTCCTTCTCTGCAGAGCTGCTGTCCAGCAGATAAGCTGCCAGCCTGTCCTGGTGCCTGGGATTATTCCTCACCAGGTGCAGGACCCTGCACTTCCCTTTGAGCCTCATGAGGTTGCTCTCTGCCCATATCTCCAGCCTGTCCAGGTCCCTCTGAATGGCGGCACAGCCTTCTGCCACTCCTCCCAGTTTTGCATTGCATGCAGACTTGCTGAGCGTGTGCTCTGTCACATTATCCAGGTCACTGATGAAGCTGTTAAACCGTATTGGTCCCAGTGCTGACCCTTGGGATTGGGCACTAGTGCCAGGCCTCCAGCTGGACTTCCTGCTGCTGATCACAACATTTTCAGCCTGGTAGCTTAGCCAGTTTTCAGTCCGCTATATCTTGACTTTATTTTCCAATGCGGGATACTTGCAAGCCCTTCAAGGAAAGGAGAAGAGTGGGATAGTCTCTTTTATTTAATTGTGCTTAGAATAAACCTTAGCACTTGGAATAGTGTTTTCAATGGACTGTACAAATCTTATCCCCACATACGGTGTTTTGAAAACCACGTTTAGGAAATTGTTAACCAGATTTTTTAAAACTCTTACCCGCCACAGAACCTCTTTATTTACAAAACTTAAGCTGGAAGAACACTGATGAGAATTTCTGCTCATCAGCAAAAATACTCTAAATGTACCCATTTGCTCATCTCCATAATTTACTGATATACTGTACATTTCTACAAATAGAGATGACTTCCCAGTATTTATCAGTTTCTAAAACTGTTATGCAGGCTTTAAAAACCCTGCAGAAGTGGAGAAATTGGGATAACACTTCATGTTCCTTTAAGTTTACCTTTTAAATGACAGCTCTTCTGCGTGTTTAGCTGAAGTCAGGTATGTATTTGATCCTTTAGCATTCGTTACAGTTGCTGACACCAATTTTTAGCAGTAAGATTGGGACTGTTAATTATAATGCTTTTAATAGGAATGACTGAGTATGAGCGGAAGGACATGCTAACTAGCGATGGGAGAGGAAAGTGCAAAGAGCAGCATTTTCTTAACATTCTTCCAAATCTGTCATTTATTGAAAGAGCAGAGCAAAATGCAAGCATCAGGTCGTTAAACTGAGAAGCAATTTTGAACTCATAAAAATAAACTAGTAATAACGTCACTATTCATTTAAAATAAGCTGCAGGAATGAGATATTGTGAATATATTGTTGGAGCAGTAATGAGTGTCTGGAATTAAATGTTAAAGAAATGGGTAAGCTTTCTTGGGCAGTAAATAATTATAAAGCTTCTTTAAATGCCAGAAGAAATGCTGTTGCAGTAAACACAATTGAAGTAGAATTTTGGGCTTGGATGTCTCAATATGGCTTAAAATTTGAAATAAATCATCAAAGGAGTCTTAAAATGTAGTTCTGGCATAGGAAATTATTTCTTAAAGGAAACCTGATTGGTCAACCCATTCTCTTCTGTAATACAAAAATATATGGTAGCTGAAGTTCAACAGAAGTGTATTTGCAAGATATTTTAATCTTCTGTGAAGAGCTTTAGTCACTTGGCAGAGACTTGGATATGGGATGACTGTTCACTTAATTTATAACCTGTTCTTAAATTTAAGGGGCCAAATCTGCAAGAGCAAATTATTTCCAGTAGATGAAGTGTCCATTTCTCCTTACTGGATATATCTGTTTAGCGAGCATATTGTAAAACTGAATTGCTTAGTTTGGATGTACAAATAGCGAATAAATTCTAATGAAAGTCTGGCCAGGAATGTATTTCCTGCTGCCAAAATGAAGTGGTCTGATCAAAAGATAGCAGAAAACATGGGAAGTCTTCAGAGGAAGCTTGAGTGACTAGTGTCATTTTCCTCAGAGTAGAGGCAGTTTATGTGATTGTGTTCTCAGTCAGGTTCTAGTCATGCTTAACAAGCCTTACATCATACTAAGCCCGTCACTTAATTCACAGGAAATCCTGTTGGCCTTTGATTAGAGGATTTCCTGTGTAGGTGGCAAGTTAAATAAAGAAAATGCACTGAAGTTGTATAGAATATAGTGAAAAGTAAGCCTTTTATTTTGGGAAGCTGGAAGTGTGATCTGATTACCGTCAACTTATTCTTACCTCTTGGCTTCGTTTGAGTGATTAGAAAAGAATCAGGTCCCGCCTTCCAGTTTTTACTGTTGTGTGGTAAAGGATTATAAAAATGGCCTTTTAAGAAGAACTTAAGGAACAAGTAGGGAGGGGCTTACTTGCTCACGTTCTGAATTTCTTCAGCTTTTGGAGTAGATAGCTATGCTTCATGTGTTACACTTTCTTAAGATAGATGTTCCCCTCCACCGTCTTAATGGGCCTATATGAACTCCAGTGTGCCAGGTTACAGAAAAAAGGTTCAACGCGTGGGCTGGTCATAGCCCTTCAGAAAATTTTTGAAAGTAAGTTGCATGTTTGTAGACAACTACAGATCTCTTAATCTTAAAACCTATTGTAATGCCAAAGCTGTACAACTAAAAAGATTAATCTATTTCTGGAAATAGGCACGTGTGCCATTTTTTCCTGTTCGGTATATTGGTACATAGCGCCCAGGAGACTATGTGCGTTCTCTCAAATTTTTCATGGAAGTACTGCGGATGTACATGGGGAGAAGCGATGGCTTCAGTAGCTATTCACAGTGAATTTACTGCTGTTTACAGCAGTAGGCTATTCCCTGCTTTGTTCAGTGGATTATTAATTTGACTGCTCCTAAAAATAAGCAGTTACAAACCCCCTTGGTGTGCTCTAAGTATTTCTTAATCTTTCATATGCTGTAGGTAACCTTATCCTTTCTTATTTCTGTCCTTGGTTTTATTATAGGAAAAGTGTTAATTCAGTAAGTGGTTGTACATTTTTCACATGCCTGTGTGAGAAGCTCCCTGCCATGACAAGTTTAAGCCAGCATTATTTCTAGCATGGAAGTTGGTAGTGATTATTTTCTGGCCTGTTTTAACGCTTGGGAATGGCATATGGTACCGCAGATTTCTGAACTGATAGAAATTGTTGGAGACTTTGGGTAGTCTTTGACAGCCAGTAACGCTGCTGTATAGGAGTTAGCTGGGGTTTTAACTAGTGAGAGGCAAATGTATACTGTTTCTCCCTTAATTTTGTAGGCAAGCAGATGCAACTTAAATCTGGAGAAAGGGCTGCAAATTTCCCTATACCTTCAGTAGATTCTGGCAGCTATTTCTGTTCTACTGTCTTCCTTTACATGTAGCAGGGAAATGTGACTATGCCGTGATATATGCTGTCAGCATGTTTACAGATTATATCATATGTTCTCTTTGCAGCTGTAAGGACTTTGTTAGACAGGGGACTGAGGTGGTAGAAGGGATATTTAATTTGCTTTGAATTATTCCTCAAACTAGGTCTTCAGATAACAGGTGGTCATTTGGTCAGTATTCAGAATGTAAAATTGAGAAGCTGAGAGAAGTGAAAAGCCATGATACAGTAATTAAAACCTACCTAAAGTATCTAAACATCACTGTTTAGGTGAGGATGGCTGTTGTTGGATTAACTTTCCTGGTTCTAGGTCTTTGAAATGTCTTGGAAAGCCATAAAACATGCCAGCTTTCCTGAAACATCATCCCCCCCGTAGCACTGATTGTTGCTGTAATAGTGAAAGAATTCTTGTTTTCAAAAGGTATGAATCTATACTGTGAATCTCTACGTGCTGTGGTTAAGGGACTGCTCAGAGCTGGCATGCAACTTTGAAGGATTATTCCTTACATAGTAGTTCTTATTCTGAAGATTGTTTCTCTCTTGCTATATGTGAATGGGAAGAATTTGAGAACAAGAAGAGAGCAATTATAAACCTGTGTGGTACGACCCATGTTAGAAGTTAGTCTTAGCACCTTTACATCCTTCTGAACGTTAACTGTTTGACCCATTTTAAATTGGAATGGTCCATGGAGGTCCATGTCCATGGAGACAACTCATAATTCTTTTCCAGAAAAGAACGCTCCTGCTGTATCCTGCTCTTTAATTGCACACGTTCGTTAATGTATTGGGCCTAAAAGGGAAGCCTTAGTTTGCCAGAAGCTCCCTTTGTCCTGCACTCCCTGGCGGAGGTGAATCCACCCGATGAAGTTACCTGGCTCCAGCTATGTAGCACAAGGGCTGGGCTGTTCAGTGACGTGGAGCACCATTTCTGAAGCATTGCTGCTTTCTGATTACCTGCTGTGCTGTCGCAAACAGCAGAGTGCTCTGAAGTAATAATCCCTTAGAGAGTCCTTTTGTCCAGGAGACCTAAGCTGTTGAATTCACAGCAGTGCTTGTGGATGAAAATACCTTCACTATGAAGTGCTTGGGGAAACTTCAAAATACAAGTGAAGGAATTCCAGTGGTAAAAGCCTTCTAGGTATTGCTTAAGAGCACATAGCCATGCTATGGAGTGTAACAAACTAACCAGGAATTTAAGCAAGCCAAGTAACTGGCCAGCTGACAATGTGGCTACAGTTCTACAGATATTCTTGGCAAAATGCGATGATTTTCACAGAATCACAGAATCGTTGAGGTTGGAAGGGACCTCTGGAGATCATCTAGTCCAACCTCCCTGCTCAAGCAGGGTCACCTAGAGCATATTGCCCAGGATCACATCCAGACAGGTTTTGAATATCTCCAGGGAAGGAGACTCTTCTTAAAGGATAATCATGGGTTTCTTTTCTAGGGAATTTGACAGCAGAGCCACCTAAAATATCATCGTCTTCAAGCCACCCTGACCTCTTAGGTGGATGGGATTCTTGGGCAGATTCCTCAACAACTAGCAATGTGGCATCACCACAGCTGAAGAAGTCTCTGTTTGAAGGTATTATGAGTTAAATACTTTTATTAGAAGAGAATAAGAAACACTCCAGACTAGGTCAGTTTAAGCAACTGAAACTGCTGAATGTGACTTCAAGCCTTTCCGTTTGTTGGTTAAAGGACTCCATGCTTACAGCAGTAAGATGCTTGAAGTTGTCATTTTTTTGTTTTTTTTTCTCTCCAGAGTATGTTCAAGGGAGAAGAACCAAATAGTTTCAGTTGCCTACAGTAACAGTGATTCTAATCATAGTAAAAGACTGTATGTAGTAAAATGCTGGGGAGGTTGTACTTGGGGTGCTTGTGGAAATGGGACTTTCATTGGTTCTTCTAAATACCCAAATGTGCCAAATACCCTATATTTTCTTATTATACAGGTCAAGTGTTTACCACAGGGAGTCAGTCCAGTGTGTCTTCAGGTCCATCTTTCAGCCAAGCTAAATCTCAGAACTTTGACCCTTTTGCTGATCTAGCCAACCTCGGCTCTGGTCTTCCAGGTAAGGTCCTTTGAGACTAATACTTAGAACTGATACTTTCTGATTTGCTTCTTGTTCCAATAAGCGTAACTGATAGCTTATATAAAGGAAAAATTTTCATTTTAATTGGCAACAACTGAGCTTCAGGCAGCTGCTGAGAGCAGACATGTAACAAGAAAATTCTGAATCTTTACAGAGATGGTATGAAAATTACCATAGCTGTGGTTCAGAAACAGGATAAGCACTTAACGCATTAGAGTCGAGCTGAAAAGATAAGAGAAACTAGGGGTCTTGTATTCAGTAACTGTGTATGAGGTTTCTTATCCATCATTGATACTGTGCTGTAAAGGATATAAAATGGAGAGCTGAATTAAGTTCTAAAAAAACAGTTCTGTTTTGCTTTGGACTCGGTACCTTTCTTTGATTTTTCTTTATAGCTCTGTTACTCAGGAACCAGTCATGGTTGGGCCTGACTAGTGCTCATCTTATCCTTCTGTACCAATTCCATCAGTATTATGAACACTTGCCGACTTGCGATAAGAGATTCTACAGAACCCAGAGTAATGTCTGCAGGATGTTATGTTCACCCATACTCAATTAGCATTGGGGCATTCTCAAACAGCAAAAAAGTAATGGCAGTAAGGAGCTGGCTTGCCTTTTGGGTCCACACTGCCATAGCAAATGGCTGGTTTGTGGCTGTTAAAATGAGACTGGGTGCCAAGAGTCCAAGTAACAATTTAGAACAGCCTGTAACTGCCAAGTTGCAGAAATGTGCTTTGTCCTTAGCTTGGAACTGAAAGAGGGTGTCATGCTGAAGCCAACCTCTTGCCCTTAATTTCTCCAGAGTAATGATTTGTTATGGTTATGGCTAGCTCTGTGTCTCTTGCATGCCAAAGTAGTAAGATAAGGAGGCAGTACCGTTGAAGAGTCAACTCTTTCTGTAAGATACATGTTAAAGGGTCAGGAAAGTTAGTTCGCCTCTCTTGCACATGCTGGCAATCCTATGATAGCTAGTATGCAAAAGACAGCAGGAAGAACTTCTCCCAAGTCTATTTTAAGAAGGAAAAGGATCCAGCAGCTGTTTATAACAGCTGGTGAGCTGGAAAATGAAATATTGTCAGCGGTAACTGGTGCTTTGGGAAGTTAACTTCGTAATTAACTTTGACAACTATACCATGTCAGACTTTTCCATACGAGTAATTTGCATGGCTGTCACTTGAGGCTTGCCACATTGAGTTTCTGGTTAAAAGGCTTGTTCTGTTGTCTTAATAGTTAATTCTGTGCATTGCTGGGATCAAATATCCTCTCAGTGAAATTATCTTAAATATAATGCAACATACAATGTGTGGTTTCTCCATGTTGCCTGTGCATCCTTACTTGCAAAAATTGAAGCACTGGAGGAATTCTGATAAGGCTGCTCTGTAGTAAGCAATTTCCAAAATATCTAAATTTAATATTTCAGGAAACTGTGGACATGTCAACCCTTTATAGGTGGTGTGAGGGGGAAAAAGAATCCAGTAATTTATCTTTGACATTGAGATGTAGGAATAAAACACGCCGAACCAATGGAAGAAACTGCATTGAATTTTGCAGGATTTGGATTGATTCATTAGTCTTGCAGTTAACTTTCAGTAGGAAAAATGACTGCATTATAAAGAGGCCAGACATGGCTGTGTTTGAACTTCTCAGTATTGAAATGGATTTTCAGAGAGGCATAAGAACTGGAATTTAATCTGTCTTCTGTTCTTAGGAATGTTTCACATACAAGTCATTGTTCTGAAAGTGTTTTCAGAGTGAAAGCTGAGCGCTATACTAGCAGTTCAGAAACAATAGCTAAAGCAGTAGTATTAGACTAGGAATGAGATACCAGTGGTGATCAGTGAGAGTAGGTCCTGTCACTCCTCTTGTTTTGGTTTCTAGTAATAATTTTGCATGAGAAGATAGGAATGTGCTATTGAAAGCTGCTGCTGAGACAGTGTAGTGTTGACTGGCTCTGTAGGGAGAGCTGGGTAGTCTTGAGGATGAAGTAATAAATGTAAGATGATTTGCAAGAGTAATAGATTGTTCTTCAGTGTACAAGATCATGTACTTAGACTAGTAGCAGGGATTTTTTCCTGAAAATTATACAAGTTAGAAATATCAGACTGAGTGGGTTTAGAGTAACTCTCCAACTAGATGCTTCTGTGAAAAAGGCAGTGCAGTCCTAGGTTTTGTCAGCTGAGGTATTTAGAAGGATGGTATTGTATATTGTGCAAAGCAATCTGCTGTGTAAGCTGTTATAAATATATGCAGAAGCTACAAAAATTTGGGCTATCGGGAGAGCCCAGGGCTGGGGAACCAATTTTGAAAGAAACTGCGTGTACGTTGCTGTGTCTGGCCTGACAAAGCTGGCTAGATGATTTTTCTTTCTCTAAGCTCAAAAAAGCAGGAATGTTTCTGCTGAGAGTTAAATTCTAATTATCAGCAGCTGAGTAGGAAAATAAGTGGAGCTAAAAACATTTCTCCACCTTTCTCCAGGAAATAATGAGGTGGGATCATAAGCCTGCCAGTCAGGACTGCCCCAAAATGCCTTACTTTTCTAAAGGGTCAGTTCTTCATTGATACTAAACTTCCTGACTGGCTTCAGTTCCGAAACCATATTTGACCACTAGTTTTGAATACATTTTGGCATTTTTAGAGAATTTTTCTGACATGAAGAGGTCTAAATCTGTTTTAGGCTATCATAAATGTGGTATAAAATGTTTCCCTTCTGAAAATTCTAGACACTTCTAAAATTCAGCCACCATGCTGCTCTTCTGTCCTGAGTTTATGCAAGGAAATGTATATTGCAAATTGTCAAGGAAACTGACTTTCTAGGAATCTTTCCAAAGGAAGTCAATCTACTAGTGGTTGGGTTTTGAATAATAAATCTCAGGCTAGTCCTCACAATTGAGAACTGACTAGTAAATTAAAAATGGTGAAGTTTTATTCTGCTCAGTTAGTTACCTTGAGTATATTGGAGTGGAGAAAAGGTCGTGGGTGTTCTTGCTAAAGAAGGGAACAGCAGCTGAGGCTGCTAAGCAGTTCTGTCTATACTGCTTTAACGAAGGGAAATTAAACCCTACAAAACAAGGCAATACTATGTTGATATATACAAGTTATATAGCACACCAGGGCAGTTACAGCAACAGGCTTCAGTGTTTTTCCTCTTGTGTGTAATATTACCTGATCGTGCTCCTACAGAATAATATTTTCATCTTAGTTGTGCAAGAAATTGCTGAAGAAAAGACTATTTTCAAATGATTGCTTTCAAAATGTGCTACACTTTTATGATCATATAATTGGTCTTTCAATGTCCTCTGATATGCCTTAGCTGACACTGAAATGTAATGAGTTGGCAGGAGGAACTGCTGTCGTGGCTGAATTGATTTTTCTGATGGGTGCATGTGCCTGGCGGATCAGAGAAGTGAAGGCTTCTGCTAAAACTGATAGCTGCAAACTTGGGTTACAGGAGTTTTCCAAGCTCTTACACCTCAAGTTACCTGTTAATCAAACCCTTAATATTTTATTGTTTTACATGCACTTTTCTATTATGCTTTCTCTTCAATATTAGCATGACTGTGAACTCCGTGGTTAGCTGTCAAGGCCAGAAACTGGCTTACTGCATTGAGTAGGTGACAGATATCAAGATGGACAACAACTGAATTAGTGTTTATTGTTAGGTCCCTCCACTGCCGGATTCCCAACTACTGGGTTTGGTCAGAAGTCTGCTCCATCTCAGAAATCAGGAAATCAGTGGCAGAAAACCACAAAACCACAAAGTACTTCATGGCAGTCCCAACCTAAACCTAGCACACCAGCTAAACCCAATTATACAGTAAACTTCAGTGTGATTGGAGGACGAGAAGAAAGAGGAGTCAGAACCCCAGGCTTTGGTAAGTTTTTGCTCTCTCTCTCTTTTTCTCTCTCTCTCCCCCTCTTTCTCTCTCTCTCCCTCCCTCTCTCTCCCCTTCCCCCCCCCCCCCCAAAAAAAACACCATAAAGGCAGATGCACACACAGAAAAACAAATCTGACACTCAGTAAAAGGTAATCACTGCAAAAAGAAATGTTGTTTCCATTTGTCTTGCATCTCTTTATTTGTTTACGTTTGCTTGCATTTGATGCAACTATTTTCCTGGCAGAAAAATAGTAGCTAGTCTTAAAAACGATTGAGCTGAAACTTGTGGGAAATTCTTTTATTTTAAATGGGGACAGGAATGGGATGGGAATCATCCTTGGAGCCATTCCCTTAAAAATGTTCCAGCTGAATATGCAAATCTAGAGGTATAGGGATGGCCATGTCCTCTTCTACACTTGCCTTTTGGAAAATCTTTTTACCTATGTATTGATGTCAGGATAATGGCTCCTGCTTAGCTGGCACATCATTAAACAACCAGGACTTCTGAGAGTTTAAATGATTCTATTGCTACGCATCTGGAAGGAGGTGATAGGATGACAGGCAGCAGACAAAAGTTGCAACACAGGGAAGTCTAATTGGACAGTGACTGTGGTCACACGGTGGAACGGGGCTCCAGAGATGCTGTGGAATCTCTGCCTGTGAAAACAGTCAAACCATAGCTGGGCAAGACTCTGAGCAACCTGTTTAGTTGTTGCAGTCTTGAGCAGGGGTTGCAGCAGGTGATATGCAGAGGTCCCTTCCAAACTTGGTTATTCTATGATTCTCGGGAAAAAAGGAGGGGGGGAGAGAAATTGGTAGGGTACAGTTAAAATCTGTTTCCTGTAACAACTGTTCTTGCTGTTATTTTAATCCTTTATTATTATACATAAGTTTCAACGTACTTAAACGTGCAGTACGTTCTTGACTAGAAAATACAGTCACTTGAAAAACTGGAGTTGGAATTACTTTATAGTGAAAATTAAACTATTTCCAAAAGCACTAATAGGTAAATGTGTGCACTCCCTCCTTCAAATCTGCTCACAATTTTTGAAAAAAAAGAAATACAGGTGTTTAGTCATGTGTATGAGATTCTGTTCAGCTGGATTGAAAGCTTGTCATTGACCCCTTCTATGCCTGTCTCTTTGTTAGTGTTGCGGAGTTTATCCAGCCGCTCCAGGGTATTCATCACGGTAGTGACAAATGTCAGGTACCTGTATATAAGTACCATGTATTTCCTCAAAGTTATGAAAGCATTTTCTTGTAATGTTTTTCTCCTGTTATAGGTCAAAAGCCAAAGGTTTCAGAAAATGACTTTGAGGATCTCTTATCTAAGCAAGGGTTTTCAGCTAAATCTGATAAAAAGGGACCAAAGACCATTGCTGAAATGAGAAAACAAGAAATGTCAAAAGACATGGACCCCTTGAAACTGAAGGTTTGTTTAATAGTGGTTTTGATTCAAAGGTAAATCTGAGCTTATGCTGGTAACAGAGCAGGAGGATGCAATGAGTGACAAGAAACGGATAAAGCAGAATCGTTTTATTTGTAATCAAATGACCTTGCCACATGGTTGTACAATTAATTAACATAAACTGCAGTCAGTAGGTACTGAAGAAGCAGGGATATTACTACAAAAAGCGTGTAGCCCCGAAGGGTTCTGAAGTGGTAAAGCTTCCTTATAAATAGGAGGATAAAGCAGCAGAGAGGGAATGAGTTGTGCTGCAGGTACGCTATTAACAAGCTATAAAGTTTAGAAGGGATGGTAGTGTAATCTTGTATCTTGCAAGAAATGGTAACAAAAGTTGAGGATTAGTTTTTTAATTTGTTTAATGGAAAAAGGAGGAGTCCAGTGGGCAGAAAAATATGGGGAAAACAGGTCTTCATGGTGTGAAGAGCACCGTAACACAACTGAAACTCAAGGGAGCAATGTGGACGCTAAACCTTAGTTTCGAGTTTAAGTTCCTTAAGACTAGGCATTTATTAATAGAAGGGCATGGTCTAATTATAAATCTCTGTGTTGACTGTGAGGTAACTTACTGCTGAGAATTAAGTTAAAAGGGAGAGGGAGTTCCCATTTCTTTTGGCTACATTTGGAGAACTTAAGAACCATCGCTGTTGCCAGTCTATTTCTTAAGCTAGAATTGTTCGTCATCTTCAACGTTTCCAAACATCCCCATAGCAAAGACTGGATTTGGCTGGTAATGCAAAGCTATACCTTTTGAAGAACAGGGAAATGAGATGAGCTGTTTTCAGTGTGAGCATTTACTTGCATTTACTAGTAAATTAGTACTATTGCTATCCTAAGAAATTACTAAAAGATGCCATTTTGAAGATGGGCTATTAAATTTGTATTAAAATGTTTAGTCTATGGGATGTTACCTCATCAGCTGTTCAGATTTTTTGCCGTCTACTACTTTTTGGTAACACTAAACATTATATTTTCACAGTTGTGTTTGAAGTCCTAAAGGTGCTTTAGAAAAGTTAGTAAAAGGATTTTGGAGGGATACTTGAACTTGTTCTTACAAAGCCTCTTATATGAAGAGTGTGCAGTATGCAGAGCTTGCAGGACTGCCCTTCAGCATAAATCACTAGGTAGAAATTAACATTTTATTATGATACTCAGTGCTGACAGAGGGCAGAGAATTTCGTGTTATATAACGTGGTTTTAAATGAAGATGCTGTTTCACTCTGTTGCAGTGGTTTGAATATTGCTGTATAAAGTCTGAAATGGCTGATTATTCTAATTAACGTTCAAGGAGATAGCTGAAAGAACACTTCAGTTGTGCATCCCTACAGATTACTGAAGTAAACATTAACTGTTAACATATATGATTTGAAACTCTTGTGTACAAACTAGGTAAGATACTTAGGAAAGACAGCAAAGAAATTAATGTTACGCCCTCATAAGGAAGTAATGTAGTTGTAGCAGGTATTTTTAATTACTCCTTTTAATTCTCTTGTCATTAATGACACAGGGTTTTGTAATTGGTAACTATCTCGGTAATTAATTTATGTTGTGATGACTGAATTTCTGTTACCAAACTAATAACATGAGATACTCTCTAGTGGCAGATGCAAAACATGACTTTAGAGTGGCTAATGACCTTGGATGCCTAACTGAAGAGCATAGTAAGGCTCGGGTAAAGAGCACAGCAAGACAATTGAAACGGGTCTTAATCTTGTAACCTTGTATGGAATAATGAATGAGGGTTGTGTCTCTAGGTAGAAGGAAGATGCTTATACCTTTTTCATTGTTTTTTATGCATTCTTTTTTTTCCCCCTAGATTCTTGAATGGATTGAAGGAAAGGAGAGAAATATCAGAGCATTAATATCCACTCTTCATACTGTGCTTTGGGAAGGGGAAAACAAGTGGAAACCAGTTAGCATGGCAGATCTGGTAACTCCTGAACAAGTAAAGAAGTACTATAGGAAAGCGGTACTTGTAGTTCATCCAGACAAGGTGAGTCTGTTCCTTTGGTCTTCTATTTCTATTAGAAAGAAGGAGTAGAAACTGCTTTTACCCTGTCATACTGGACACTGACAGATTGTGCAGCCTTATTTCTTGATCAGCTTAGATCAAGCCTAGACGCTTTGCACTTTGCTTCTGACTTTGGTGGCCTGTTGCATCCAGGTTATGCAGAATTTTTCCTGTCATACTGATACAGCACGGAGTTTAACAGATGAGTTTTAACAAGTAAAAGATTCCATGAAGGTCATACTGAGCACTAACATCAGTTGTACTGGTTTCTGACTTCTTGTAGCTTTAATGCTGATTAGTGGAATGTGCTTTATTTCCACTAGCTGAGTCTTCAGGTCTTCTAAGGTTATTCAGTAGAATGTGAAGACCCAGAGGCTATCATAGCAAAACTTGTTGGGGAAAAAAACAATTAAAACTTCTTTGGAAATTACTCAGCAATATATTATTAATATGAAATTCTAGTTGGCTCTTTCAGTAGTATGAAATACTTTGTTCATCTGCTGCCATTAATTTCCCAGTGTATGAAGATAGTTACTTGTTCTGAGTCATTGTTCTAGGTTATTTCTTACATATAAAGATGTGTTGAATACACTTGGTTTGAATTTTCATGCATGCCTTAGCTGGTGTGTCAGTGGGCAGTTGAATAAATCTATCTTGTTGCATCGATAACAAACAAGACAATCTCTTTTTGTTCTTCTATTCTTTCTTGTCCCTGGCCATGTGTTATTTTTCCACCTTTATGCTAGTTTCTGAGTTCTTTCTGTGAGACTCCAGACTCACCGGTGTCGCATTCAGCAGTCATTCTTTTTTCTTAGTTTCTTTTCTGACGCTTAAAGCAGCTCACAAAAGGGTCCCTGAATTGCTACAGCTGGTAAAAGCCAAGCAGCAGAGGAAGGGAGGAAGGTCCAGGAGAGGAACTTAAGGTTCCCTCTTGTGTTAAAGAACCCATTAAAATGACCTATCACTTCCTGTGGGAATGGATGTTTACTAACCGCAGGAGCTGGTTTGGCTGCAGTTTGGCAGGGAATTGGTAGCACTCTCACTTCTCTATTGAGCGCAGGAAGTCTGATGTAGTTAACGTTGAAACTGAACATAATTCAAAACCAGCAACAGATGTTTCCCCAGGAAACATCATCCAAAAGGAGTGTTCTTGAGAACAGTGCTTAAGTTTTATTGCTGTGCACTAATGCAAGGACCGTCAGGAAGAAATTCCTGCAGTGACTAGATCTGTTTTTTAGGGCGATTAGCTGAAAACAAAGTTTTCCCAGCTGTTCTTTTTGTAGCAAATAGTTTTAGTACAGTTTGCTATTTAAGAATTACCCTGAAGGTTTTAAGTTATGTAAGGAAACTGAGGCTTCAGCTCTGTTTAAAGCTTGTGGAAAACTGGGCAACAGGGGACTGAGCTGTGTTTGCAGAATTATACTCAGTCATTTACAATAGTAAATGAATGGAGATGAAGTCTTTCCTAAGCCACACCATAATTCCTACTATTTTTACACTTTTCATGTTCTGTTTGTTTTCAGGCCACAGGACAGCCTTATGAGCAATATGCGAAAATGATCTTCATGGAATTGAATGATGCATGGTCAGAGTTTGAAAACCAGGGATCGAAGCCCCTTTTCTAAAACTTCACCTTATTGGAAAAAATTCCATAAAACATGGAGCTGAGCCGTGGAGCTGAGCACTGTCGTGACCTTACTGCGCCTACAATTTAGGAAATACTTTTCCATGATTTCAGAGCAGTTTGAAATCATGCACTTAAATGTGATGTGTTTTGTAAGATGTAGTACAAAGGATTACATAGAGGCATTAAGAAAACAATTGCTCAGTACTTCAAGAAATCAGTCTGGGAGTAAAGATTTCCTTTCAATTTTAAATATGGTAAAACAGAATTTTAATGATGTTTCCTGGTATCTGGTATACTAGTATCAACTGTAAATCATTCCAAATCCATTGATCTGTGTTTAACCACTCCCTCCCTCAATTTATTTTCATTAGTTTTTTGTGATTTGATTTTGACATTTGGTGCCTGTCGCCTTATTCAAAGTGCTTTAGTTGTCACCAGTGCGTTTGCTTGGCTTATCTCAAATCCGAAGGTGTATATTTTCAGCTGTATTTTATGTAATGAATATGATAATCATTCTGTAAATTAAAATGTTTTCTGACAATACCTGTGTTCCTTACAATGAATTGACTAGTTCTTTAGTCAAAAAAGATACCAACTGTGGGAAAGTCAGCTGGAGTTGTTCTTGTTGTTTTTTTTTTTTTTAACATATCATGAACATGGAAACAAATTTTGGCTTTAAGATCTGCATGTTCCTGTTTTATTTATTATAAACTTTGGAAGGCAATACTGTGTGACCAGTGCTTATTTTTCTAGTTCTTTAAATTGTATCTTTTTCTTCTGATTTCAATGGAATGTGCCTTCCATTGGACTGTACTATGATGATAAGTGTCATTCTGAAACTTGAAGTGTGAGCACAAAACATTTTATTCCAATTTGTCTGTTAGGAGTAAATGTTACTTTACTATTTGTCATCTGGAGAACGTTTGGAGTACTTTAACACTTTTATCCTGCATGTCTGAACTTGTGTATTTTGAGATATGCATGACATCAGTGTGTATGAAAACACAGGGTGCATTGATTGTGTCATATTTTTGCTCCTACACATTCCACGTGCTGGCTGGTGCAAAATGAGTAAAGACAACCTGAGAACAAAACTTGCCATTTTTTCTCATCCCTCTTAAAATGGCAATTTTTCAGTAGTGCTGGGGTAAGTGAATGCAAATGACCAATCGTATAATAACAAACTGCAAATCTCATGGAGAGTTTGGAAATGTTGAAAATCAGTATGGCTGTATTAAGGCTTTAGTAGTCTTTTGGAACAATGTAGTTTGGCCATCCAAGTGGATAAAGATATTTCAGTCATCTTGCCCTTGTATCTATTTTTCCTGCTTAACTGAGAGGGAAGCTATAACCTTGTCAGAGGTAACTCTTCAGCTGAACGACGTCTGAACAGGGAAAAATGAGATTGCTGATGTTAAATAAACAGTGTTGTGTTGCATGAGTTTTCCACTGCCAAACCAGCCTGAGAGCTGATGGGATAGAAATTTGTGAATACAGGGTGCAATTTATAGTTGCTCAGATCTAACAGTTATCTGTTAACCTCTGTCTGTAATAGGATATGTGTGTGTATGTGTATATGTTATATACGCATATACACATGCACATATTCAGCTCCTGTGATTTCTTTTAAAGATGGAGGCCAGGATCAGGTGGAAGGCTATGTGTTATTCCGAGCTGCAACTGTATTTCAGTTGCTACTCTGAAGCAGTATTAAATCTCAGGTTTCTCCTTCTTGAAAATAGATAACTTATCTCAATTAAAGGAACTATTTTTATTAGTACATTACATCATTTTTGTATGCAAGGTCTGCATCCATACTAAAGGCTTCTGCTGGTAGAATAGCTGTGTTGGAGACCTGTGGGGCTTTTTACAGATCCAGGGCAGATGATATATCGTAATAGGCTTAAACTGTAGATACACAGCCATGTAATAGGCTGTGCACTTTAAGAAAAAAAGAAAAGAAAAGAAAAAAGTGCATTCACGGACCTTAATTTGGAGAGACAGACTTTCATAATTGCTCTTTTCCTGAATGTGTGCATGATTAAAAAAATGGTGAAAAACATCTTCCTTGGCTTTGTATGCTTAGTGGGATTTTCTGGGTGATGCCAACAGTTCTCTGGTTTTCTTTGGCCTCTCTTTGTTCGCAAAATTTGTTTGTGCGGCAGAGAAGAATTTAGATTTTAAAAGCGAGCAGGAAAAAAGAGGACAAGTTTTTATTTGGAATTGAAGACATCTTGAAATTGACTTCCCTTTTAAAAAGTATGGAGAATCATGAAGTTTGGCACTGGTTTCTTGCAAGAGCCATTTGACAATAAACAAAACTTAGTCAAGTTTTGAAATGAACCCTCCAGAGCCTTAAGCGGCTCTGGTCCTCAGTAAGGGAACTGCCTGACCCCTTCTATCCTGTTGCTTTCTATTTAGTTGAGTTTCGGTGCCAGGAATATGGGAGGCTCCGAGAATTGAGAATACTCAAGTCTTGGCGGTGCTTCTGTTTGGTTTTTAACTGGTATTTAACGGAGTTGCCTACAAGAATGTACAAAGGAGGCTAGGTTTCAGTAAAGCCATTTAAACAAACTTTCAAAATGTAAATAATGAGCAAGAACACAGTAAATAGAAGTTGTTTTCCTTAGAATACCAAGCAGCATCAGGATCAGAGGAAGTATTTCATTGTTTAAGGCTTATACACTACATTTTTTGGTTTACTATAATCTGGAAGAGGCAAGTTGAGGAGAACTTTATGTAAACTTATATCGAGTCTTAAACAATGTTGCTGTTAAAGCAGAGTTGTTTGGAAGAAAAAAAGTCCAGCAAGATCTGTTTGAATTCATCTTGAAATAGCCATCAGTAAGGGTAAGAGTTGGAAGTGAGGACTCCTCCCTTTAGCACCCTCAAGGCTTCATGGCTGTGTGCTTTATAGGGTAGGACTATACCCAGACCATCATATATGTATGTCACTATAGCTACATTTTTAATGTCCCTGAACAGAAAGGATTTCAAAATAGGCTACAGGAAAACTGATAAATACTTTGAATTCTTTCTGGGTGTAAAATGCAGATTTTCCATCACGTTTGTTATGCAATGGACAGTCAGATTTTTAAAAGATGAAATAGTGCACTGAAAGCTAGACTTTATCGATTTCTGCTGATTGCAAAGCTTGAGGTTAAGGTAAATGGAGGTGGTGTCACCAGTTTGAAGCTGTCTGATAGACTTCACAGATGGCACTCAAAGCTCTGTGGTGAAGCTTCTCCTTGTCTCTGGCATCACATTATTATTCCTTCTGGCCCATATTTGAGATTTCTTTTTGTCTGTTAATAGGAAAGGAGTATAACCTTAAGGGATCTTCTTTGCGGCCTCACAGGATCCAGTTCTTAAAATTGGGTAGCTTGACTTTGCTATTGCAAAAGCTAAGTCAAAACAATGCAATGTAGATTAAGAGAAGAGTAGAGAGGAACATCTGGATTCTAACCTGCATCTGAAAAAGGTATTCCCTCATTCTCCCTTTGCTGACTTACTCCTGTCTCTGTTTAAAAACTGGTCCAGACCGGTAGGCAAAAATCTCTTCTACGTTGCCTGCTTTTCCGGCCCTTTTAGACGTGCTACTGACTGGTTATAGACAAGTGGCAATACAAGGAAATTGGCTTTTTGAAGAAGTTGCTACGGAGGAGTGCCTATAAAATGGGAGGGCAGAATTCCAGTAATTACTGCTGAAGTTGCTTATGTTACTGAGTTGTAAGATCGGAGAGTCAGACAACTTAGCTGTTAAAACAGGGGTCTGTGAAGAAGAAACGGTGCTAAGAGTGCATGTGGCTAGGACCTGCCAGATGATGAGGAGAGCAGTGTTTTCTGGCCATGTGAGAAAACAAGTGGTTTCTTTAGCTTTAGGCATGTCTGTGTGGTGTTTCCTACTGCTGCCAGGGGTTTCCTTGGACTTAATAACAGGGAAGAGAAAGAAAAGTGAGTAGTTAAGTATTTATATCCATATGAAATCAAGGGGGGTTAATATTGCTAGTGGGTACTGATACAGAGGCATGAAATAGGGGGAAAGTCCCTCTGCTTTGTCACTTAGATGAAGTTTAATTAGTTTGCTAATCAGTGGTAGCTTCTTCCAGCACACTGAAAAGTCTACAACAGTTCTGATTAAGAACATTTCCATGCAACAGTGGCAAAGTCTTTAGTACTGCCACTATGAGTAATTAGTGCTCATGAAATAAGTGCTTTGCTTACATCAATTTTCTTGTCGATTCTAGAAAGTTCCTCTAAAGTTGTCCTGCCAGGCATAAAGAGTTCCTTGCTGAGTGTAATTCCCTGCATGCAGCTTTGAGACAATATTTTGCCCCAGCAGAACCTGAGTTTGAGCGTAACTGAGGCCTCAGCTGCCCTTTGGGATTGCTGGGCTACGCAAACCATTCCACCTCCCAAGGGCCTGACTGCAGCTTCTCATTGTGGTAGTGTATGTTTGCATAGTCATTGGTCCTAGCAGTCTTTGCTGCTCACAGGAAGTATTTCAGGGGGTGCATAAAAGTGGTGGCTTTGCTCCTTGGCTCTGTCCTGAAATCTGACAATTGCAGTGTAATCGATGCTTTGTAAATAAGTTCAAAGCAGTCCTGTACAGTTGCCTGTGCTTTATTGGTCAGTTGACGTGTTCCTGTCAAGAATTTGCAGGTGGTTGACCTGTGAAAGCTGTAGAAGGAATGTCTCATTTCCCACCACTTGAATCTGTCCCTAGTGCAGAGTGGTTTTTGCTACAGGTGGTTGTGTATTAAGCAAAGGGATGACTCAGGTGAGCTGTTAATCTAATCTTGATGAATCTCACAATGTTTGCTTGCTCTCTGGGTGAGCTTATTGTAGACTGCAGCTTAGGCTGCATCAAACTTTAAACATGTGCTCCAAAAGTAAAAACTCAGTCATTTTAGGAAGGATGCATTTTTTGTTAGTGAAGCTTTTATTACTAACAGGATTACAAGGCATCGTGAGAACTCCTGAAACCCTCTTTAGTGGAATGTACTGTATATTTGCTATTTAGACTTCTAGAAGCAATTGTCATCTCCGTGATGAGGACTTAGCTTGCTCTGAGACCCTTACTGTAATTACCTGTAGTTGTGATTGTACTTTCTATACCTGTGATTTTTCTCGTTTGGGGTGGGTGGAAGGACAGAATAGATATTCAAGTCCTATTTTTGCCGTCTTTCATCAGGAAATGCAATGTTCTGAGTAATTTTGCTACTAGTGAAATGAAAATCTATACTTGTATGTATATAAAGGTAATACAGTCAAATTAAACTTTGTTTAAAAAAAAAAAATAGATTTAATGTTTGGCACAGTGTCCTTGAACAGAAGATTTTGCTTTCAAATGTATTATGACTTCACCAGTGATCAATTAAAACAAACCAAATGATTTTGCTCGTTTCTTTCTTTAGCAAGGGAAAAATGACCTACAGGTACCCAAAGCATTTCCAGTGCCTTTTTCAGAACAATATTTGAGCGTTTAGAGAAATGGTTCTCACTGAGGAAAACTGAACCTCACAGATTACTTGTCCCTCTTTGAAACCTAGTGTCTCCCTTGACGAGGGTTGCGCTCCCCAGGATGCTGCAGGGACTCCTGTCTGGTTTTCCACCTGATTTTTTTTTTTCCCCCTTCCCCTTCAGCTATTTGTGCTGGGCTGTGAGGGGCTCTGGTTGAAGAGCCAGGCCCAGTACTTGCTGGTGTAATGTCATTCTTTCCCCCTCGGGAAGCTTGCAGAGGAGCTTAGCAATAAGGGATGGGGAGGGAGAGCAGGGACAAGACTGAGGCAGGAACAGCCCGGGAGAAAGTGGAGTGGAGCCGCTTGGGGGGATGGTGGTGGAAGGGGACAAAGTGATGAACAATTGCAGATCTCTGGGATTTGAGGGAATATTGGAGAAGGAAGTAATGCTGAGAAGATACTAACAACTGGACTCCAGGTGCTATGAGGCCCCTGACTTTAGCCCATACTCACCAACAGAAATGGAAGAAGTGAGAGTTTGAGTTGGGAACAAGTCACTTGAGGACATTCAGAAGGTGGTGGTAGTGGCAGGGGGGGGAAAAGCATGGCAGCATAGGTTTGCCAGACAGATTCAGAGTGGCGGGGGAGGATTACCACAACTGATGCCCAAGGAGAAAGATAGCAAACAGAGGTGGGTATGGGAAAATGCCTGGGCATGATCTAAGGAGGATGGTTGGGAACGAGCAATGCAAACTGGAGGAGACTGCAGAAGGTGTTGGGATGAGAAGGAAAGAAGAGAAGATGATGGAGAATCCTGGGGCACGAGGTGGGAAGGAGGAGCACTGGCAAGCTGAGAAGTAAGCAAGACAAAGTTGGCTTAGGGAAGGACATGAGGCATGGGGGAAACTGAGTAGTGTGTGTGTGAAAAGTGTTGGGCTTTTGGAAAAAAGTGTAGGGCTGCCTAGCAGGGTCTCAAATACAGCTCTTAGAGGTCCTGCTTCCCTCTCCATGGAGAGGAAGGTCAAGGGAAATGCAGAGACCACACAGACTGTAGAGAGGACCTGGAGAAAAGTAATCCGAGGATGAGCATCACTCCTTCATGCTGACAGAAGACAGAGTTAAGGTTAACCAGTGCAGAGACCCCAGGGACTGAAGGACTGGAAGTTTTTGCAAGGTCCAGAGAAGCAATGTGTCTGCTACCTCGACATCCTCTTTCTTCAGTGTGTTTCACCAGACAGCAGTGGGTTGAACCCCAGTGCAGACATTGCACAAGACTGCATTCACATCTGAATAAGAAGTGGAATCTGGGGACAGTGCTGCATTCTGCCCTACCTCCGGAAGCAAGCTGAGGGGTGGGTTTGTCTCAGTTTGGCTCTGTGCCTGTTCTGCTGATTTGCTGGCAAGCTTAGACATGAACTTATTGTTGGCCCTGGGGAAGGTCATGGGCCTGAAAACTGTTGTAAAGGGCAGCAGTTCTTTATGGACCACCTGCTTTTGCCCTCAGCAGCTCAACCTCTGCTGTCACTCTAATGTATGTGACCCCTCTGAATTGCTGGAAAACAGGAGTTTGAACTCCTGTGAACTGAAGGGCTCAGCCTGCCTGGACCTCAGCCTGCTGGAGTTTTCTGCAGGCAAGGCATGTTGCAGAGCCTGAGAGCCTATGTCCTGCATACCAAGGGTCACCAGCATGAGGCCTCTCACCTCGTGAGCATCACCTTTGGAGCAGCTTACAACACTTCCAAATCTGCACCACTGGCAATGTTGTTCGTACTTTGCTTACTCCTACTAATAGTCTGAGGTGATGATAACTTAATGCTAGAAGGCTTAGCTTAACATTATCTCACAGAACGGCCCTTCTCCCTGTATCCCATACCGAACAGGCTGCTACTTTTGTCATTTCTTTGTTTACAATATCCCAGCAAGTTTTCAAGTGGTTTGAAAGTACTGATACCTGCTTCCAGTCCCTTACTGGTACAAGGAAAAATGATAAAGTTAGTGTGCTACCTCTTTCATGACGTATGCAGGGCCTCTGTTCTCTCTGACATGTGTTTGGAAAGAATTTGGAGCACTATCCACACCTGATGGAAATCCTGCTCTGTAGGCAGGTGTCAGTGTGAGATAAATAGTTGCTCCGGCTAGGTAAGATCGGTTATGAAGAAATAAAGTGGCCTTAAATTCAGTGTAAAATCAAATGGAGCACATGAAAGGGCAAGAGTACATGGAGGATAAAAAAAAGGCAGCAGAAACACTGCTGTCCTACAGTGGTGTGTGATGCAGCCTGTGGCAATCTCATCTAAAACCTTCTGGGCCTGCACCGTCGACCGCTTCTGGTTTAGACTTGGGAGAGCTGAAGAGGATGCAACGTGTCCTGCCTTAGCTCTTTGTCTACTGTGAAAATGTGAGGAATAAAGGATCCTTTCCACTTCTAGCAGATTTTTACCCTCCACGTAGCAGCGCTCAGCAAAAAGCTCTTAAGAAGTTAAAAAAAGGAGAATGTAAGTATGTGAACTTTCACTGGAAGGATAACTTGCTTTCAGAACAAACTGACTAGTACTGTGAGGGATTTTTCATATCCTGTAACCTCTAAGACAGTGCTGGCTGTCTTGCTGGGTGGCCTCCACTCCTAAGCAAAGTTTTGAGCGTGGAGAAAGTTTGACTGTAAGGTTTTCTGGTCTGTAATGCTCATGGCAGGCTAGAGAATTAATCAGTTACCTTCGTGCAGAGTATTTGCAGCTAACACTTAATATGGTCTCATGTGACGGTCACCAGTCCGTGAGCTCCACTGTCTGCTTCCTCAGAAATGCTCTTGGTGAGTAGGAAGGCAGCAAAAGTGCTCTTCAGTTGTAGTGCCTTGATGATCCCATGTCCTGAGGGTGCCTCCCTGTCACAGTCTGCAATGTATTCGGCAGCCAGTTTCTGGGGTGCCAGACAAAACTTGAAGTGACAGATCATTCAGCTTGCTCATAAAGCTAATTTTAATACAAGCCCCTTAAAAGATTTAAGATTACAGCTGTTAAACTGCTTTTTATTTCTCCTGTATGAAATGAACTGAAATACTTAGGTGTGAATTTTGAGTACTCGTCTAATCTTTGCTGGCTTTGGAAAGAGGAATTTTTGTTTGTGGAATAACCTGAATAGCAAGTAGCACGGAAATATGTTGAAAACCAAAGACCATCAGAATAACTGGCTGTACTTGATGCCTGTCAATGTAGAAATGTCATGTATTGTGAAGTGCTCCATTTTTCCTGGCTTAATATTTGGGTTAGGTGCTTGCCTCACACCCGCTCTTGACAGATTCTCGCTCCTCGCCTAATCCTTGTTAGTTGGGTCCTGTCAATTTCATTATGAATTCAAAAATATTAGGTGATGTTGACAGCCTCCCTAGTAGCTGTTAATGGAGCACTTGACCCCCAGCTTTTCCTGTCATTGCTGTTCCCTTTCCAACACTTCAGCTTGCAATTGGCTTTAGCCAAAAAGCAGTGGATTTAGCAGACTTCACGCAGAGACTGATCATCAGTAAAGCAGAACCAAAAAACAAAAATGGGCAACAACCTGCAGCTGGGAGCTGCTGTAATTGGTTTCATGGCTTCTCCTTCCCCACTGTTTGCCTGTCCTGTCCAGATCCTCCCTGTGGTCCACCCTAGAGGTGAATAAGGTGCCAGGTTTATTACAGGGATGTGTCAGCTGTGAGAACTGGACTCCCACAAGCGTTTTGATGGACTAGATTAGGATGGGTTTTCTAAGCAGTGAACGTTCTGCATAATTTCATTCTGGTGAAATAAATTTTTATATATCATATTATGAAAGTCTCATAGCTATACTTGCCCCTCCTACCGTCAAGCCAGGGATATATGCAGACTACTGGGAAAAGTCCCACAGTTTGGCTTTATCAGCAGCATTTTTTCACAGCTATCTTCCTTATGATGAAAGCCACGGCAGGTGCTTCCCCCAGGAAGAGGGGCATGGACTGTCCTCGGTCCTCTGTATTTCCCCTCTTCCCATGCAAGAGGGAATGTGCCACATCCCAGGAGGGTCATCAGGAGCCGTGCATCCGTGGTGCCTTGTGTTGCATTGAGCAGCGAAAGTTTGCTGTCTCCAAATAGATGCTCTTGGGGACCACCTGGGACCGTAGATGGGTTGTGGCCTGGGAAAGGGGACTTGGGGAGGGTGAAGGGAAGGCAGACACTTGGGCGCACTGCTTGCTTGGTGCGTTGGGAGATACACTGGGAAAGCTGCCGGCATCTCCCCTCAGCCTACCTGGTGCTCAGAGCTGGTGCTCTGGTGCTCAGAGCCGGTGGTAGCTGGGTTGCTCCCTCAGCCAAGATGCACCCGCCTGCAAGAGGAATTAATTATCAGGAGTAATCATATTTCTTGGTTTCGATTGACATCTGCTGGCAGAAGGGCATGCACATTGCTGCTTTCAGATCCCGTGCAGCGTGCGCTGGTGGTTAACCGAACCTCCGTGTCGTGCCACGCCGC